GCGGTCAATCCACTGAAGGTCTCTCTCCATTGCCATCATCACTCCGTCTCCTTGGTCGACGTGCTCTTGTTGCCAAATTAATAGGTTTTTTTTTAAAGGAATCCTCTATTTTTGTTAGCGTCTGCCATCTTCGTTCGTACCAATAATCATTTTTGAGTGGGGGGGCGGGGTGCAAATGACTCATTGTGCACTAGGAGTGGCAGATGAGGATGGCTGTGGAGGAGTTGTGTATCCGAGGAGGCCAGCTGTGGGTTCCCGTCTGGATGACTTCGACCTACGGGGGACTTTTTGCCAATTCCTCGCGACGTTGGGGAGACGAGGCCACGGGGTTATTGTTTTACGTCGAGCTGGGACGGAGCGTGGCGACTCGCAGAGACTGGTGGCCGGGTGAGGGCCAGAGATCCACGAGGTGGTACCAGGCGTTGCTCGATGTCCTCCTGGTGGTGGGGAGGTGATCTATTGTGGTACAGCGGTTAGCGCGATGCGCTACGAACCCGGTGGCCCGAGTTTGATTCCCGCTCACGGCCAACACCAGTGACGATGATCTGAACCGGTCCTGGACCTCCTGCCTTAGGTCGACTCAGCCTCAAATGAGTACCTGGTGCGGTGTGTTGACAATGTCACTGGGGAGAAAAATTCGGCCGGGCGTGGTGCTGGCCACCCACCACCACCTCGTGTGCCGTGCTGGCCGTCATAGGTGCTCGCTAACAGCACTTGCTCCGAAATTCTGTTAAGGTTTTACAGGAGATCTTTGAGTGTGAATGTTTGTTAGAGCGTGAGTGCATGGAGGTTGTATCATCTCCCCCTGTTCTGCAGAATGTGAATGAGTTAGTGGAGTTTGTATTATCTCCCCCTGTTCTGCAGAATGTGAGTGAGTTAGTGGAGTTTGTATTATCTCCCCCTGTTCTGCAGAATGTGAATGAGTTAGTGGAGTTTGTATTATCTCCCCCTGTTCTGAAGAATGTGAGTGAGTTAGTGGAGTTTGTATTATCTCCCCCTGTTCTGCAGAATGTGAATGAGTTAGTGGAGTTTGTATTATCTCCCCCTGTTCTGCAGAATGTGAGTGAGTTAGTGGAGTTTGTATTATCTCCCCCTGTTCTGCAGAATGTGAGTGAGTTAGTGGAGTTTGTATTATCTCCCCCTGTTCTGCAGAATGTGAGTGAGTTAGTGGAGTTTGTATTATCTCCCCCTGTTCTGCAGAATGTGAATGAGTTAGTGGAGTTTGTATTATCTCCCCCTGTTCTGCAGAATGTGAGTGAGTTAGTGGAGTTTGTATTATCTCCCCCTGTTCTGCAGAATGTGAGTGAGTTAGTGGAGTTTGTATTATCTCCCCCTGTTCTGCAGAATGTGAGTGAGTTAGTGGAGTTTGTATTATCTCCCCCTGTTCTGCAGAATGTGAGTGAGTTAGTGGAGTTTGTATTATCTCCCCCTGTTCTGCAGAATGTGAGTGAGTTAGTGGAGTTTGTATTATCTCCCCCTGTTCTGCAGAATGTGAGTGAGTTAGTGGAGTTTGTATTATCTCCCCCTGTTCTGCAGAATGTGAGTGAGTTAGTGGAGTTTGTATTATCTCCCCCTGTTCTGCAGAATGTGAGTGAGTTAGTGGAGTTTGTATTATCTCCCCCTGTTCTGCAGAATGTGAGTGAGTTAGTGGAGTTTGTATTATCTCCCCCTGTTCTGCAGAATGTGAGTGAGTTAGTGGAGTTTGTATTATCTCCCCCTGTTCTGCAGAATGTGAGTGAGTTAGTGGAGTTTGTATTATCTCCCCCTGTTCTGCAGAATGTGAGTGAGTTAGTGGAGTTTGTATTATCTCCCCCTGTTCTGCAGAATGTGAGTGAGTTAGTGGAGTTTGTATTATCTCCCCCTGTTCTGCAGAATGTGAGTGAGTTAGTGGAGTTTGTATTATCTCCCCCTGTTCTGCAGAATGTGAGTGAGTTAGTGGAGTTTGTATTATCTCCCCCTGTTCTGCAGAATGTGAGTGAGTCAGTGGAGTTTGTATTATCTCCCCCTGTTCTGCAGAATGTGAATGAGTTAGTGGAGTTTGTATTATCTCCCCCTGTTCTGCAGAATGTGAGTGAGTTAGTGGAGTTTGTATTATCTCCCCCTGTTCTGCAGAATGTGAGTGAGTTAGTGGAGTTTGTATTATCTCCCCCTGGTCTGCAGAATGTGAGTGAGTTAGTGGAGTTTGTATTATCTCCCCCTGTTCTGCAGAATGTGAGTGAGTTAGTGGAGTTTGTATTATCTCCCCCTGTTCTGCAGAATGTGAGTGAGTTAGTGGAGTTTGTATTATCTCCCCCTGTTCTGCAGAATGTGAGTGAGTTAGTGGAGTTTGTATTATCTCCCCCTGGTCTGCGAGGGTTTCCCTCCGGGCCCTACAGTTTGCTCCCCGTAACTAAACAACAACCAAAACAACAGCACGCAATGTACCGCACGCACATGCCATTGGTCAACAGCAACAACAAAAAACATCCCAACGCTAAAAACGTGACGGGCGAATGACTCGATTGGGATCGCACAGCAGCAGCAGCAGCAGCACGATGGCTCCCTTACTGAAAGAGAGTCTTGGAGTGTGACTCTTCAGGGTACACGAGTGAGTCGTAGCAGCATCATAGAAGTTGCTTTCACAATCGAGACTGTGTCGACTTGCAAGGCAGACGCGATGCCAAGAACTCAAAACTGGAAGAGCAAAATAAAACGGGCACCCCCCCCCCCCCGCAACCCCCCCCCAAACCCCCACTCACCACCCCCCCTCACCCCCACCCCTCACCACCCCCCCTCACCCACGCCCCTCACCCCCACCCCTCACCACCCGCCCCTCACCACCCGCCCCTCACCACCCGCCCCTCACCACCCGCCCCTCACCCCCACCCCTCACCCCCACTCCCCAGCGAGTCCACGACGGCGGTGACGTCACAAAGAGGAATGGCGACGCTCCCGCGGAGTGCTGTGAGCACGCGCGTGGAGAGTGGCGAGGTGGGTGGTGAGGGTAGCAGTGAGCATGTTGGTAAGGGTGACGGTGAGGTTGTGGTGGTGTTAGCAGTGGTGGTGAGGCAAAATGGTGAGGGGTAGAGTAAAGTGGTGGTGGTGGTGAGTGTTAGCGTGAGGTGGTGGTGGTGAGGGGTAGAGTGAGGTGGTGGTGGTGAGTGTTAGCGTGAGGTGGTGGTGGTAAGGGGTAGAGTGAGGTCGTGGTGGTGAGGGGTAGAGTGAGGTGGTGGTGAGTGTTAGCGTGAGGTGGTGGTGGTGAGGGGTAGAGTGAGGTGGTGGTGGTGGTGAGTGGTAGAGTGAGGTGGTGGTGGTGGTGAGTGGTAGAGTGATGCGGTGGTGAGTGGTGGTGGTGGTGAGGGGTAGAGTGAGGTGGTGGTGGTGAGTGGTAGAGTGATGCGGTGAGTGGTAGAGTGAGGTGGTGAGTGGTAGAGTGAGGTAGTGGTGAGTGGTAGAGTGAGGTGGTGAGTGGTAGAGTGAGGTGGTGGTGGTGGTGGTGAGGGGTAGAGTGAGGTGGTGGTGGTGGTGAGTGTTAGCGCGAGGTGGTGGTGGTGGTGAGTGTTAGAGTGATGCGGTGGTGATTGGTAGAGTGATGCGGTGGTGAGTGGTAGAGTGAGGTGGTGAGTGGTAGAGTGAGGTGGTGAGTGGTAGAGTGAGGTGGTGAGTGGTAGAGTGAGGTGGTGAGTGTTAGAGTGAGGTGGTGGTGGTGGTGAGTGTTAGAGTGAGGTAGTGGTGGTGGTGAGTGGAAGAGTGAGGTGGTGAGTGGTAGAGCGATGCGGTGGTGGTGGTGGTGAGTGTTAGCGTGAGGTGGTGGTGGTGAGTGTTAGCGTGAGGTGGTAGTGGTGGTGAGTGGTAGAGCGAGGTGGTGAGTGTTAGAGTGAGGTAGTGGTGAGTGGTAGAGTGAGGTGGTGGTGGTGGTGGTGAGTGGTAGAGCGATGCGGTGGTGAGTGTTAGAGTGAGATAGTAGTGGTGGTGAGTGGTAGAGTGAGGTGGTGAGTGGTAGAGTGAGGTGGTGAGTGGTAGAGTGAGGTGGTGGTGAGTGGTAGAGTGAGGTGGTGGTGGTGGTGAGTCTTAGCGCGAGGTGGTGGTGAGTGGTAGAGCGAGGTGGTGGTGAGTGGTAGAGCGAGGTGGTGGTGAGTGGTAGAGCGAGGTGGTGAGTGGTAGAGTGAGGTGGTGGTGGTGAGTGTTAAAGTGAGGTAGTGGTGAGTGGTAGAGCGAGGTGGTGAATGGTAGAGTGAGGTGGTGGTAGTGGTGGTGGTGAGTGGTAGAGTGAGGTAGTGGTGAGTGGTAGAGCGAGGTGGTGAGTGTTAGAGTGAGGTGGTGGTGGTGGTGAGTGTTAGAGTGAGGTGGTGAGTGTTAGAGCGAGGTGGTGAGTGTTAGAGTGAGGTGGTGGTGAGTGTTAGAGCGAGGTGGTGAGTGATAGAGCGAGGTGGTGAGTGTTACAGTGAGGTGGTGGTGAGTGGTAGAGCGAGGTGGTGGTGAGTGGTAGAGCGAGGTGGTGAGTGTTAGAGTGAGGTAGTGGTGAGTGTTAGAGCGAGGTGGTGAGTGGTAGAGCGAGGTGGTGAGTGGTAGAGCGAGGTGGTGAGTGTTAGAGTGAGGTAGTGGTGAGTGTTAGAGCGAGGTGGTGAGTGGTAGAGCGAGGTGGTGAGTGGTAGAGCGAGGTGGTGAGTGTTAGAGTGAGGTAGTGGTGGTGAGTGTTAGAGCGAGGTGGTGAGTGTTAGAGTGAGGTAGTGGTGGTGAGTGTTAGAGTGAGGTGGTGGTGAGTGGTAGAGCGAGGTGGTGAGTGGTAGAGCGAGGTGGTGAGTGTTAGAGTGAGGTAGTGGTGGTGAGTGTTAGAGCGAGGTGGTGAGTGTTAGAGTGAGGTAGTGGTGGTGAGTGTTAGAGTGAGGTGGTGAGTGTTAGAGTGAGGTAGTGGTGGTGAGTGTTAGAGTGAGGTGGTGGTGAGTGGTAGAGCGAGGTGGTGGTGAGTGTTAGAGCGAGGTGGTGAGTGTTAGAGCGATGCGGTGGTGAGGCCCTCGTACCCGTGGTGAGGTCCCCGCGTGCCCTCCGTGTGGAGTTGCCCCGTGCCCCGTGCAGCCTCAGGAGCCTCAGGTCGCGGTCGTCCAGGGCAACGTCCCCCACGAACGCAGCTGCCATGAAAACGGTGGGGAGGGGGGGGGGCACAGGGGTCAGACTCACCAGCGGTAAGGGGGGCACAGGGGTCAGACTCACCAGCGGTAAGGGGGGCTGTGACCCATCAACCCTCACATTCATCGACAGGCCAAGGTGAGGCCACGCCTTGCTCAGTCTATTCAACTATCACGTGGCGGTAGTTCAGGGGGGTGGGTGGGAAATCGCGTGTTAGTAAATCGATGAATACGACAGGGTAAGGGCGCAGTCAGTGACAATAGGGTGAGATGTGTTCGGAGGTCGAACAAACACTGAGGCACGTGGGTGGCGTTGAGCAGCTGCCCACTTCGAGCGATGCTCCGTCGAGGCAGCCGCTACGGCCGCTCATTCCTCCCGCTCGCGCTGCGACGTCGCTCCGTTCGTTCGCTCGATCGCGTCACGTCCTGAACGCATCCCGCGTTCTCAGAACCGTGTTGCCTAATACATTCATTGCGTTGTGGGAACAGCCGGAGGCGTTATAGGAGAACAGCCTGGACCTGGACTCTCTCTCTCTCTCGCTCCCCCCCCCCCTACCGCTGCCCCCCTACCGCTCCCCCCCCCCCCACCGCTCCCCCCCCCGCCACCGCTCCCCCCCCCCACCGCTCCCCCCCTACCGCCCCCCCCTCTCTACCACTCTCCTTCCCTCCAGCATTATGGGAGGAGGAGGGGCGGGGGCAGGGGAGGCTGATGGGAGCGGCGAGCAGGGTGGTGAGGAGAGTAGTGAGGCGGTGGGTGATGGTGAGGAGGGTGTTGAGTGGTAGTGCAGCGGTTAGCGCGCTGCACTACGAACCCGCCAACCCCTGTTGGATTCCTGCCTTTGTTTACCACACAAGTGTACACGCACACACACGTGTATACACACACGTGTACACACACACACACACGTGTACACACACACGTGTACACACGCACACACACGTGTACACACGCACACACACGTGCACACGCACACACACGTGTACACACACACACGTACACACACACGTACACACACACACGTGTACACACACACACGTGTACACGCACACACACGTGTACACACACACACACACGTGTACACACACGTACACACACACACGTGTACACGCACACACGCGTGTACACACACACGTGTACACATACACACGCGTACACACACACACACGTGTACACACACACACGTGTACACGCACACACACGTGTACACACGTGTACACACACACACGTGTACACACACACACACGTGTACACACACACGTGTACACACACACGTACACACACACACACGTGTACACACACACGTGTACACACACACACACGTGTACACACACACACGTGTGTACACACACACACACACGTGTACACACACACGTGCGCAGCTCGGTGGACTGCGCTGCCCCCGTCCACCACACAGCCCAGGCGTGCCGGCACCACCCTCACACCTCACATCCTCATCTCTGCAGCCCTAATGGCTACGTGGTGGTGGTGATGATGATGGTGGTGGTGGCGATGATGGTGGTGGTGGCGATGATGGTGGTGGTGGCGATGATGGTGGTGGTGGCGATGATGGTGGTGGTGGCGATGATGGTGGTGGCGATGATGGTGGTGGTGGCGACGATGGTGGTGGTGGCGACGATGGTGGTGGTGGCGACGATGGTGGTGGTGGCGATGATGGTGGTGGTGGCGATGATGGTGGTGGCGATGATAACAACGGTGATGATGAACGGCCGTGCGGCGGGTGGAATGCTGCCGCTCGTCCCGAGCCGGTGCAGGTGCAGAGAACAGGGTGGAAACTATGTTGAAAAACAGCCAAATGTTAATGGTATTCTGTAACAGTGTATATGTTATACTTCCTTTGCAGATTTTTTTTCTTTTTCCGTATCGGCGTCACGTCCAGGGATAAATATTCCATTAGGAACCCTCACAAAATAATCCCAAACTTCCTGAACAGCGGAACACCCCGATATTAAGAGAACGGTCTGTGGAAGTGAATATCACAGAACCGCTTCCGAAATTATTTCAAGCAGCTTCCTTAGCCAACATAGGGGGTCGGGACTTTCGCACACACCCTGCTGCAGGGTGACGTCCCTCGCACGAACAGTCACACCCCGTTGTTTTTCATCCTCAGAGCTGGAGTTGAGCCAAAATAAGTCCGGAATGAAATTGTACATGTTGGTTACCAGGCTGGGACTCATAAAAAAAACTTCCTGCACTTGAGAAACCGGTTCAATCACAACTCGGCATCTGTGAGCCTATGGGTCTCTGTGCGAGTCTATGGGTCTCTGTGCGAGTCTATGGGTCTCTGTGCGAGTCTATGGGTCTCTGTGCGAGTCTACGGGTCTCTGTGCGAGTCTATGGGTCTCTGTGCGAGTCTATGGGTCTCTGTGCGAGTCTATGGCTATGGGTCTCTGTGTGAGTCTACGGGTCTCTGTGCGAGTCTATGGGTTTCTGTGCGACTTTATGGGTCTTTGTGCGAGTCTATGGGTCTCTGTGAGAGTTTATGGGTCTCTATGCGAGTCTATGGGTCTCTCTGCGAGTTTCTAGGTCCGTGATATTTTGAGTCACTATGCGAGTCTCGAGGCCTTCATGCCAGTCTTTACGTCTCTATGTGAGTCTATGGATCCCTGTGCGAATCTGTGCGCCTCTCTGTGAGTTTCTGGTTCTCTCTGTGAATCTACGGGTCTCTGTGCGAGTCTATGGGCCTCTGTGCGAGTTTATGGGTCTCTGTATGAGTCTATTGGTCTCTGTGCGAGTCTATGGGCCTCTGTGCGAATCTATGGGTCTCTGTGCGAGTCTATGGGTCTCTGTGCGAGTCTATGGGTCTCTGCGAGTCTATGGGTCTCTGTGCGAGTCTATGGGTCTCTGTGCGAGTCTATGGGCCTCTGTGCGAGTCTATGGGCCTCTTTGTGAGTCTATGGGCCTCTGTGGGAGTCTATGGGCCTCTGTGCGAGTCTATGGGCCTCTGTGCGAGTCTATGGGCCTCTGTGCGAGTCTATGGGCCTCTGTGGGAGTCTATGGGCCTCTGTGGGAGTCTATGGGCCTCTGTGCGAGTCTATGGGTCTCTGCGCGAGTCTATGGGTCTCTGTGCGAGTCTATGGGTCTCTGTGCGAGTCTATGGCTATAGGTCTCTGTGTGAGTCTACTGGTCTCTGTGTGAGTTTATGGGTCTCTGTGTGAGTCTAGGGGTCTCTGTGCGAGTCTATGGGTCTCTGTGCGAGTCTTTGGGCCTCTGTGCGAGCCTATCGGTCTCTGTGAGCGCCTATGGGTCTCTGTGCGAGTCTATGGGTCTCTGTGCGAGTCTATGGGTCTCTGTGCGAGTCTATGGGTCTCTGTGCGAGTCTATGGGTCTCTGTGTTAGTCTATGGGCCTCTGTTTATGGGTCATTACAGGTCACTCAGAGAAAGCATTTAGAGTATCCATACTATGGCGCATCACGTACACACTTCTGTGCGCGTGTCCGTGACATTGATGTTTAAGTGTGTGTGTGTCTGTGTCGAGTCAGTCTCAAATGAGTACCTGGTGCGGTGTGTAAAGATCGCCACTCGGAAAACAAAGTGCGGCGGGGCGTGGTGCTGGCCACCCACCCCCTCGTGTGCCGTGCCGGCCTTCATCTGTGTTCACTAACAGCACTTGCCCCCTACAGTCTGTTTAGGCTACACGGGGGGGCCTTTGTCTTTTGCCGAGTCGTGAAATCAAACTGTGAGCTGTATGGGATGTAGTTGTTTTTGTTCCGATTGCTTTTTGATTGATTACTAATTTTATTCACTTTGTTTTGGTCAGTGTAGGGTAAGTGTAGGGCAAGTGTAGTGCAAGTGGGGGGCACGTGTAGGCCAAGTGTGTGGCAAGTGTAGGGTAAGTGTAGGGCAAGTGTAGTGCAAGTGGGGGCACGTGTAGGCCAAGTGTGTGGCAAGTGTAGGGTAAGTGTAGGGCAAATGTAGTGCAAGTGGGGGGCACGTGTAGGCCAAGTGTGTGGCAAGTGTAGGGTAAGTGTAGGGCAAGTGTAGTGAAAGTGGGGGCACGTGTAGGCCAAGTGTGTGGCAAGTGTAGGGTAAGTGTAGGGCAAGTGTAGTGCAAGTGGGGGCAAGTGTAGTGCAAGTGGGGGCACGTGTAGGCCAAGTGTGTGGCAAGTGTAGGGTAAGTGTAGGGCAAGTGTAGTGCAAGTGGGGGGCACGTGTAGGCCAAGTGTGTGGCAAGTGTAGGGTAAGTGTAGGGCAAGTGTAGTGCAAGTGGGGGCACGTGTAGGCCAAGTGTGTGGCAAGTGTAGGGTAAGTGTAGGGCAAGTGTAGTGCAAGTGGGGGCACGTGTAGGCCAAGTGTGTGGCAAGTGTAGGGTAAGTGTAGGGCAAGTGTAGTGCAAGTGGGGGGCACGTGTAGGCCAAGTGTGTGGCAAGTGTAGGGTGGCAAGTGTAGGGTAAGTGTAGGGCAAGTGTAGTGCAAGTGGGGGCACGTGTAGGCCAAGTGTGTGGCAAGTGTAGGGTAAGTGTAGGGCAAGTGTAGTGCAAGTGGGGGCACGTGTAGGCCAAGTGTGTGGCAAGTGTAGGGTAAGTGTAGGGCAAGTGTAGTGCAAGTGGGGGGCACGTGTAGGCCAAGTGTGTGGCAAGTGTAGGGTAAGTGTAGGGCAAGTGTAGTGCAAGTGGGGGCACGTGTAGGCCAAGTGTGTGGCAAGTGTAGGGTAAGTGTAGGGCAAGTGTAGTGCAAGTGGGGGGCACGTGTAGGCCAAGTGTGTGGCAAGTGTAGGGTAAGTGTAGGGCAAGTGTAGTGCAAGTGGGGGCACGTGTAGGCCAAGTGTGTGGCAAGTGTAGGGTAAGTGTAGGGCAAGTGTAGTGCAAGTGGGGGGCACGTGTAGGCCAAGTGTGTGGCAAGTGTAGGGTAAGTGTAGGGCAAGTGTAGTGCAAGTGGGGGCACGTGTAGGCCAAGTGTGTGGCAAGTGTAGGGTAAGTGTAGGGCAAGTGTAGGGCAAGTGGGGGATAAGTGTAGGGTAAGTGTGGGGTAAGTGCGGTGTAA